TGAAAATACAAAGGTGACAGGTTCTTGAAATTAAAATAGGAACATTCTGAGACTTCTTAAACCCAAATTTGTAAGTATGAAATTGTCTTCTCAGGCTCCCAACTTTCTCTTATTTTAGTTGAGGGACAATAAATGTAAATTTTGTTAAAGCAGGCACTCTCTTTTAAGGGTAATTTTTTAAGGAAAAGGTGTTTCATCTCCTAAGTTGCAGCCTTTGCTGCGTTAAACAAGAGCAGTGCCATTGGGGTGTGGCCTCCTGGGATGATTCACTAAGTTCTCCATCCTCAAAGTGCCCATTGTTCACATTCCTTCCTCTGCCGAAGTCCCCATCATTGGCCTCTATGGACCTTCAGAGGAAACCAGGAAGACCCCCAAGTTATCAACCTGCTTTGAGTTCATAGTAACGTGTTCCGTTATCCATTCTGCAGAAAACTCCTGGAGGGTGAAGAGTGTCGGATTGGCTTTGGCCCGAGTCCCTTCTCCCTTCCAGAGGGACTCCCTAAAATGCCTTCCACGGCCACTCACATAAAGGTCAAAAGCGAAGAGAAGATCAGGGTGGTAGAGAAGACCCCCAAGTTATCGACCTGCTTTGAGTTCATAGTAATGTGTTCCGTTATCCATTCTGCAGGAAACTCCTGGAGGGTGAAGAGTGTCGGATTGGCTTTGGCCCGAGTCCCTTCTCCCTTCCAGAGGGACTCCCTAAAATGCCTTCCACGGCCACTCACATAAAGGTCAAAAGCGAAGAGAAGATCAGGGTGGTAGAAAAGTCAGAGAAGGAAACCGTGATCGTGGAGGAACAGACAGAGGAGATACAAGTGACCGAAGAAGTGACTGAGGAAGAGGAGAAAGAGACCAAAGAGGAGGAGGGCGAGGAGGAGGAACAGGGAGAGGAGGAGGAAGCAGAGGGGGGAGAAGAAGCAACAAAGTCTCCCCCAGAAGAAGAGGCTGCATCCCCGGAGAAGGACGCCAAGTCTCCAGAGCAGGAAGAGGCCACGTCACCAGCCAAGACCCCCATGAAAGAAGAAGCAAAATCGCCAGCTGAGGTGAAGTCCCCTGAGCAGGCCAAGTCCCCAGTGAAGGAAGACGCTAAGTCCCCAGCAAAGGAGGAAGCCAAGTCCCCAACTAAGGTCAAGTCCCCAGAGAAGGCCAAGTCCCCAGTGAAGGAAGAAGCAAAATCGCCATCTGAGGTCAAATCCCCTGAAAAGGCCAGGTCTCCGACGAAGGAAGAAGCTAAGTCCCCCGAGAAGGCCAAGACCCTTGATGTGAAGTCCCCAGGAGCCAAGACCCCAGTGAAGGAGGAAGTCAGGTCCCCCGCAGACATCAAATCACCCGTAAAGCCCAAAAGTCCTAGCAAGGAGGAGGCCAAGGCCCCGGAGAAGGTCAAGTCTCCCGTGAAGGAGGAGGCCAAGGCCCCGGAGAAGGTCTCAAAGAAGGAAGAGGCGAAGTCCCCCATGAAGGAAGACGAGAAACCCCAGGAGGTGAAAGTCAAAGAGCCACCAAAGAAGGGAGAGGAAGAGAAAGCTCCAGCCACACCCAAAACCGAGAAGGATAGCAAGAAAGACGAGGTGCCCCAGAAGGAGGCTCCCAAGCCCGAGGTCCAGGAGAAGCCCAAAGAATCCGTAGCTGAAGCCAAGAAGCAAGAGGCTGAGGGTAAGAAAAAGGCAGCGACTCCGGAGAAGGAGGCTCCTGCCAAGGAGAAGGAAGAGGCGAAAGCCAAAGAGAAGACCGAGGTGGACAAGAAGGAACCAGGTGATGCCAAGGCCAAAGGACCCAGCCAAGCAGCGGAGAAGGGGCCAGAAAAGCCAAAGAAGGAAGAGACGTTGGCAGCACCTGAGAAAAAAGATGCCAAGGAGGAGAAGGCCACAGAGGCCAAGAAGCCGGAGGAGAAACCCAAACCGGAGGCCCGAGCCAAGGAAGAGCCCGGCAAGGAGGCCCCCGCCCCCAGCAAAGCCAAGACGGAAAAGGCTGAAAAGTCCTCTAGCACAGACCAGAAGGACAGCAGGCCTCCTGAGAAGGCCACAGGAGACAAGGCCGCCCAGGGGGAGAAGTAAAGAGGGAGGCAGGAACATCCGGAGCATCCAAAGAAACTCAGGAGGGTCTGGGAGTTCGAGGGTCGGCATAATCAATTTTCATTTTTTTCTCCCTTCTCTTTATAGAAGAAGAAACTCTGCTTAACTGGTGGGGCTCTCCCTCACCAAACAAGACGTTGTTAGCAATACGTTACCAAGGAAGGGCACTCCCCACCCTGCCCCCCCGTACCCCGAACCCGCTCAGGCGATGGACCATTATGTTATGATAGCTTATGTAGCGGAATGTGATGTATGCCGAATGCCACACTAAACACTTGACTGTAAAAACTGCCCCCCTCCTTTCCAAATAAGTGCATTTATTTCCTGTATGTGCAACTGGCAGGTGACCGCAATAATGAACGAGCAGTTAGAAACACATTACGCTTGAGATGTCTTAACCTATTCCCAAATGCCTTCTGTTTTCCAAAGGAGTGGTCAGGCCCTTGCCCAGAGCTCGCTCCCCTGGAAGAGCCGGAGTGGGTGGGGCTGGGCACTGAGCCATGCCAGGGCGCACTTTTCCACCGGAGACCACTTTCAATTGCTTCCGTGCAATAAAAACAAGTGCTTATGAAATGAAAACGCTGCCGCCGTTATCTATTCCCCCCCTCGCAGGCCAGGGGACAGAACAAGGGAGGTTTGGATGTCACAAGTCGACACAGGACTGAGCAAGCATCAGGGGTCTTGAGATTCTGGGACCAGTTACATGGCCTCTCTTGTATTTTTTCCTGAGCACAAACCATGTGCCAGGCAGTGTGCTAGATGCTTTATTTTTATGATCTTACAGACAGGTGGCCTGGTGCATGGCTTCTGGATCGCCTACATTGGCATCATCTGGGCGCTTTATATGAAGCCTTGATTCCAACTTTAGATCTGTCATTAACCCTGTTCTGGGAGCTGCTTCTTTCCCTGCCCCAACCACCTTCTTAGCCACTTTAGGATATTAGATGATGTAACCTATAGTCGTAAGCACTATTATGGATTGCTATCATAGACTAGAGACTGAGGAGTCATGCTTACTCAATGCAATGTGGTGTCCTGGAGCCCAGAATACTAGTAGAGAAACTAGTGGACAGCCAGTAGTCTGTAGTTTACGTAATAGTAATGTACCAACATTAATCTCTTAGTTGTGACACATGTACCATGAACATGTAAGATGTTAACATTAGAGGGAGCTGAGTGAGGGTATCCAGGAACTCCCTATAAGTTCTATCTTTGCAACTTTTCAGTAAGTTAAAATTATTTCAAAAATAAAGTTTTTTAAATTGACCTATCAAGAGATTACATGATTAAAAACACAGAGATAAATACCAGAGCCTAACCCCTGAAGATAGAGGTCGGGGGGAGGAGGCAAAGACCTCTGTGCATTATTAGCAACAGATTGTAACCAAAGAAATAAGGACCAAAACATCATTCATTTTTAAATATATTTCACTGATTTCAGAGAGGAGGGGAGGAGAGATAGAAACATCAATGATGAGGGAATCACTGACTGGCTGCCTCCTGCACACCCCGAACCTGGGATTGAGCCCACAACCTGGCACATGCCCTGACTGTGACCTCCTGGTTCCTGGCTCAATCCCAACCACTAGGCACACCAGGTGGGCCCATCAGCAGTTTCTGTTACAAGCAGTCAAAACAGAACTAAACTAGCTTAAGCAAAATACTACTGCTACTAAGAATTGATAATAAAAAATATATTATTTTACATAACCAAGCATTTTAATAGGTTTGAATTGCTTCAGATACGGTTAGATCTGGGGGAAATCTCAAATGATTGTTCTCCAAGATGCCGTCCACTCACTCGGCCATCTCTTGGCTGCTTTCGTGTACGCTTCATGCTCAGGCAGGACCTCTCCATGTGGTCTCAAGCTTCAGGCTTACATTCCGCCAGGTTAGCAAACTTGGGGCG